TAACACCTAAATAGATCCAGTCTTCCAAGAGGCACTCCTCCTAGATATATCATCCAAATGATGTTTATCATTATCCTACAATTAAAATAACGTCACACAGTAAATAAAAAAATCATAATGTTTTTATGAAAATACTGATATATTATCATTTTAGATTCAAACAAAGAGCCACATCTCCAAGATGAAAATGACTCACTTCGCTGTCAATTGGAAGCATATCGAAATGAAGTAGAAGTTTTAAGAGCTGAAAATCGTCAAGAACAAGAAGCCAGAGAACGTCAATTGAGATTGCTCCAACAAGCTTTACAAGGAATGCAACAACAGTTAATATCTATTACTCAGCAACATACACATGATGAGGAAGAAATTAAAAGAGTATGATATAACTATTTTCTTTAATTTCTAATTAATATATGAAAATATAATGAAATTTTTTTCTTTTTGTAAAATTCACACAGATGGTAATTTTCATATTGCTTTCCTGTAATGGAAAGCAATATGAAAATTACCATCTCTGTGAATTTTACAAAAAGAAAATTACCATCTGTGTGAATTTTACATGATTCCATTACTTTCCCTTACAGGGAAAGTAATGGAATCATGTAAAAGTAAATGAAATTGTCAAAGTAAATGAAATCGTGTCAAAGTAAATGAAATCGTGTCAAATGGAATGTGAATTTTATTCCATTTGACATGATTCCATTACTTTCCCTTACAGGGAAAGTAATGGAAATCATGTCAAATTTGACCCTCTGAGTTTTTTGCAAATCTCCACATTTTGAGACCTCCTGAACCCAAAACAGTCAAAAAACAACAAAAAAAATTTTGTGGTGTGTGTGTGTCTATTTCGCTTAATATCTGAGGTCAGGATGAAGATAAAGAAACCAAATTTGGCACGATAACTTGTATATAAGGGGCATTGATGCTATTAAATTTGGTTGTGAAAGGTCAAGGGGATGGAGAGATAGAGGGTGGTTTTGTGTCATATCTTGTGAGGGATCAGACTTAAAGAAGATTTTACTTGTTGTTAGCATTTACAGTGTTTTATAGAACTCATCTCTACCCTCAAAATTAAGTCTTTTGCTATTTTATAATAATTATAAAAATATTTTTAACAAAATCTCATAACAGATGATGACACACATTAATTTTAGTTATTTATTTTGATTAAATCTTTTGACATATGGTCTGCTTTGTAGTCATTACTTTGTTTCTGGAAGCCCCTCCCATTTCCCTGCCCACTGGAGCACTGTATAATATGAGAAAAAGTTTATTTTGTATAAAATCATTTTTTAGATTCAAGAAAGTTTTAATTTTACCACGTTACAATTTTAACGAAAAATGGGTTTCACATAACCAGTTAATAACTGGTTATGTGAAACCCATTTTTCGTTAAAATTGTAACGTGGTAAAATTAAAACTTTCTTGAATCTAAAAAATGATTTTATACAAAATAAACTTTTTCTCATATTATACAGTGCTCCAGTGGGCAGGGAAATGGGAGGGGCTTCCAGAAACAAAGTAATGACTACAAAGCAGACCATATGTCAAAAGATTTAATCAAAATAAATAACTAAAATTAATGTGTGTCATCATCTGTTATGAGATTTTGTTAAAAATATTTTTATAATTATTATAAAATAGCAAAAGACTTAATTTTGAGGGTAGAGATGAGTTCTATAAAACACTGTAAATGCTAACAACAAGTAAAATCTTCTTTAAGTCTGATCCCTCACAAGATATGACACAAAACCACCCTCTATCTCTCCATCCCCTTGACCTTTCACAACCAAATTTAATAGCATCAATGCCCCTTATATACAAGTTATCGTGCCAAATTTGGTTTCTTTATCTTCATCCTGACCTCAGATATTAAGCGAAATAGACACACACACACCACAAAATTTTTTTTGTTGTTTTTTGACTGTTTTGGGTTCAGGAGGTCTCAAAATGTGGAGATTTGCAAAAAACTCAGAGGGTCAAATTTGACATGATTTCCATTACTTTCCCTGTAAGGGAAAGTAATGGAATCATGTCAAATGGAATAAAATTCACATTCCATTTGACACGATTTCATTTACTTTGACACGATTTCATTTACTTTGACAATTTCATTTACTTTTACATGATTCCATTACTTTCCCTGTAAGGGAAAGTAATGGAATCATGTAAAATTCACACAGATGGTAATTTTCTTTTTGTAAAATTCACAGAGATGGTAATTTTCATATTGCTTTCCATTACAGGAAAGCAATATGAAAATTACCATCTGTGTGAATTTTACAAAAAGAAAAAAATTTCATTATATTTTCATATATTAATTAGAAATTAAAGAAAATAGTTATATCATACTCTTTTAATTTCTTCCTCATCATGTGTATGTTGCTGAGTAATAGATATTAACTGTTGTTGCATTCCTTGTAAAGCTTGTTGGAGCAATCTCAATTGACGTTCTCTGGCTTCTTGTTCTTGACGATTTTCAGCTCTTAAAACTTCTACTTCATTTCGATATGCTTCCAATTGACAGCGAAGTGAGTCATTTTCATCTTGGAGATGTGGCTCTTTGTTTGAATCTAAAATGATAATATATCAGTATTTTCATAAAAACATTATGATTTTTTTATTTACTGTGTAAAAATATTTTAATATAAAAACTTTTTTGTAATAGAAGCATGCAACGAAGTTTTAGTGCATGACATGGATAGAAGAAATACTTTTTAATGATAAATATTCAAATATTAATAGCCAATGAAATTTTCATTTTTCTCAATTGTTTTATAAAAATTAGAAATAAATCCATTTTTAGTTTTAAATTTAAACTAAATAAAATATAAATTTTATACAGATTAATGTCAAAATTGGAGTCCATGATATGTTTTGAATAAAATATAAAATAATAATAATGGTAATTCCATTAATTAATTAATTAATAGTGAGAAATGTGTATTCAGAAGTTTGTTTATTTTTCACATTTGAAGAAATCTGGTATACAATAATCAATGTGACAATGTTATGATAAAAAAGTGCAGCCATACCAGATCTAATGCATTCCTAAAAAATTAAAATATCAGAAATTAGATTTCTGAANCAATAGTAAACACAACTTACTTGCCTAAACACTGTGTAGCGTGGCGCTGGACAGCAGAAAGTATATATATATAATTATAATAAAGTTACAATAAATTAAGCTAATATATAATTATATATACAGTACCTAATTTATATATAATACTGTACAGACGGTAGTAAACTCAATTTACCTGCCTAAACTCTCCGTAGCATGGCGCTGGATGGCGGAAAGTAGTTTGGCTGCCCGATGACATTTTACCAAATTATAGGAGTTTTTTACCACGTTTGTACGGATACTGTTGCAATTTTTTTACCATCATATAGGAATCCGAACTATAGGAACCCGTGTTATAGGGGGGTTGACTGTATTAACTTAGCAGCTTAACTGCCTACTCTAGAAAAATTACTTTGTATTTAATTAACTTAGTCTAATCATAGCCTGATAATTCAGCAGATTGTCTAATTTTCAATATTGGCTCATTCTGTTAGTATCTCTTCTGTCAGCTCATACTAGATGGGAATGTTGATGCTCACCTCTAGAATCTGAGTTGTAGCCAACCCATACTTGGCTGGTGGTCATTGTTTATCCTTCCTTGGATCATTATTTCTGAAGGTTCTAACGACAACTGACTATAAAAGTCCCACGAGCCTTGCTGTCTCAAATGCTTTGATCTACTTGTTTGGTCCATCATGATTGTCAAACTTGCTTACGTTCTAAAGAAAATGTAAAAATGGATTAACAGCTCTGTTGGGTAAAAATGGATTATCATGTTTTATTTATACTGTTCTCTGATATAGGCATGTACTATGTGTTTTGTTTTCAGTTGCATCCAATTGCATAACTTGGAGTGGTCATAATGTTTTGGCACTTGGTATATATCATATTGCAGTACCAATGGAAAGTGTGTGCAATAAAGCTGTTTCCAGTGAACATTGCAAAGTATAATTTATAAATTGTTCTAAAATAATTATACATCCATGTTAGCTAGATTTTAGAAATACTGTTTAACCAAAAATGTAAAGCTCCATCAGACTGAAGATTAATTTAGTAATAAATTATTTGAATAAATAATTTTTGTGTTAAATTTTTGCAAAGCTATATTTTGCAAAGTTATATTTTTTTGGATTGAAGAGACGTTCACTAAATCAACATATAAAACAGCTAAACCATCGGAAATTTCAGACTAAATCAATATATTTTAGTCATTTAACATTAAATGTATTAATTACTATATATGTTAATCATCATCTGAATATAATTATTTTCTATTTATAATAATATAATGCACTTAAACATTTATCAAATTTGAATTTTATTTTAACATATTTTGATGGGAGAGGTAAATTATTCATTTTTACATACTTCCAGTTGCGGAAAATGCTTCATATTGAAGAAAACAAAGGAAATTCAAACAGTGATAAAAGTTCAGAAGAGGAGGGAGAAAAAGAACTTAATACAAATGTCAGTTCTTCTGATTGCTCAATCTGCAAAGTCCAAATAACAGAAAAAGAAGCACAACTTATTGGTAAAAATTTTTTGTTGTCTTATCTCCATTTAAACCACTTTTAAAATCATATCAAACTGAAATATGAGGGCGGTTTTTTCAAGCTCTGATGGTCCATAAAAAAAAGACAGGTGTAAATAACAAAATGAATTTATTACCAAAGAGATACAAACATGGTTACTTTTTGACATAATCACTGTGAAGATTGAGGAATTTGTCATATCTGTGGATGAGCTTTTCCATCCCCTTGTCATAGAATGTTGCTGCCAGTGAATTGAGATGGCCTTAATAATGTTTTGAAGATCGTCATTAGTTTCAAACCTCTGCCTTGCTAGCCACATTTTCAGTTCAGGAAAGGGGTGGAAGTCTTCCCCACCTTTAAACACCCAGTATATAGTTTTGATTTAGTGCTGAGCAACTTCCACCTCTTTCATGAACAGGAAAAGTGGCTAGCAAGGCAGAGGTTTGAGACTAATGACGATCTTCAAAACATTATTAAGGCCATCTCAATTCACTGGCAGCAACATTCTATGACAAGGGGATGGAAAAGCTCATCCACAGATATGACAAATTCCTCAATCTTCACAGTGATTATGTCAAAAAGTAACCATGTTTGTATCTCTTTGGTAATAAATTCATTTTGTTATTTACACCTGTCTTTTTTTTATGGACCATCAGAGCTTGAATAAAAAACAGCCTACATATAATGGAGGGTTAAATTACAATTGAATATTTGACATAAGTAATCTTCACCATGTATATAATATATATTTGTGAGCATTATGTTGGCTTTCTTTATTGATAGACTTATCACATCCAATGATGGTGTGATAAGTCTAGAAATAAAGAAGGCCAACATAATGGCCTTCTTTATTCAAATATATACAAAGACTAGACAAGAAGTGTATCATAGTTATATAATAATTTATTTTTACTTTAAATGACTGTTTTTCTTTGAATTTAATTAAGAATTTCATATCTTTTAAATTATTATTACCATTAATTAATTTTTGATTGCTATTTCTTTGTAATTTGTTTAGATAGTCTGACCAGTCAAAGAGATAACAAAAATCTGAGTGATGAATTAAAATAAACAATTTTCATGTGTAATCTTTTTTATGCATTCATTATTAATTACATTATTTAACATTATATAAATGATAAAGTTATAGTATGTTTATAATAAGCAGTATTCTAAGATGTTCGTAACGAGAGGTACTTAATTCCGCGAGTGAAATGGTACCAAAAAAAAAAACACTTAATATTATTTACAGCACCAAGTATTTTAATTCTCTCCAAACAGGTTCTTTACATCGGATCCCAACCTTATAACTTTATGAATTTTATATACATAGGCATTTACGTACTAGTTTTCCAAGTAGATAGTTGATATATGCACGACAGTCAGACATGGGTCGTATCAACTTACACTAACTTATACTATCTTAAAACTAAGGAAAATGGAAAAGTAGATGAAATAAGGAAGGATAAGGAAAGGAATAGAAATACCTGGGTTTCTTTTGTAGCAGCGTGCTCTTGGGTAGGACACAACTTCAGATCTCCCTCTTATTCGTGATCCTTTTCCTGTCGTAGGACTTTTGTCTATTTTTGACTTCGTCGTCTTTCTTCAATGATCTCTCAGCAACTCGCAGTCCTCGATCATCTTTCTAAAATTTCGGAGCACTGCCTTTTTCTGCCTATCTCTTTGGGATTCTCACCCAGACTAACTCGTTCTCTGTCCGTTAGGCTCCAGGGCCTCACTCCCTCTTTTGTTCTACTTATTTTCTTGCAAACGATAATCCTACCCAAGGGCAAAAAGGGTTAGATAAGAATGTTCTAGAAGGAATTTAGAACAAAGAAACAGGAAAGAAGGCTAAGATTAATCCAAATAAAACATACAACTACCCAATATCATGGCTGACAGCCACAATTCTTTATATATAGACAACTAAGCCCAAATTATTGTAATAATCAAATGATAATGCTAGGCTAACCTTTTGGCTTAATTGAACTTAATAAGCTTTTTTATTAATTATGTATTATCATTTGAATAATAATAATTAATAAAAATACAGAATAAAGTTTTAATTATGCATTAAATCAGTTAATTTTTAAGTGAATTATTGGTTATTTATATTTGAATATATGCATATTAATAAAATCCTGTAATTTAATGTGATTCATTAATGTTAAAATAATATGATTGTATGTTTAAAACAAACCAATTTAATGTTTTACTCTTCGATATATTAAAAATATCCCATTTCATCTAGTTATGCATATTTCAAATGTAAAGATTATTGGTCATCAGCAATATTAATTTTTAATAACAAATATTAAAAGTTACATCTTGATGTTACAAGTATGATATAATTTTCATGTTAAATGAAATTGAATGTGACACAAATTATATGAATTTTTTTTTAGTATTTTTCAACAAATATAAATTCAATATAGCTGCATGCAGTTTTTATTTACAGTTGCATTAAACCTTTTATTAATTAATAAACTTTTAGAGTTATGTGACCATAATGGTTAGAGGCAATTATATTTAGTTGATTTTATGATTCTTATTAAAAATTATTATTATCATTGTCTATATGTAAATTACTAGAGTATTCAAAAACTATTTTATATAATTACAGGTTTAATATCAACATTCCTTCATGTACATCCCCATGGTGCTGGAGTTGATTACATCTGGTCCTATTTACATCAGATTGACAATACACTAAATCCAAGAGATGTAGAAGGTCTCATGTTAAGATTTCCAACAGTTTTTAAACAAGAATTATCAGGCGTAGGAGCATTATTAGAAAGAAAATGGACTTTCTGTGGATTTAAAATTGCAGATCAGACAGATTAATAAAAAAGACTAGTGTTGTATTTAGCTGCATCTTTTAATCAGTTAATTTAATACATATCGATGAAGCTTTTTTGATGTGGCATGTCAATAATTACTATTTATTTAGCCAAAATATTTCTCCAGATTTCATAAGTTATATTTTAGTTATATGACTAAAAATATACGACAATTTGTAGAGGTTTGAGACTAATGACGATCTTCAAAACAT